ATTCAGCTAGAGAAAAAATGGAATATGTTTTATGATATAATATTTAGTTTAGCTGGCCAGTTCATAATGAGAAGAAATTTGGCTCATCAATGAATTTAAATTTGGAACCCTCTACTGGTTTAAGCATAAAAATGAATGGATTTCTCTTTCCTTCCCTCCTTGGTTTGTACAATCATGCTAATTACATTGGATGGGGTTTAAGATGCTGAGACTTACATATTCAAGGAAGAATTGGCAAGATTAACTGGTAACTTGTGTAATTTTGTGTTCATTTACAAATGTGCTAGCAATGGGATATTAAATAAATTACATAAAATCCATTTTTAAATCCAATTATTAAAATCACGTTTCAGTAAATTATTGGGAAACATGAAAAAATAAGTTATGCAATGTTATACAGAGTAGGGGCCACATTACTTAAAATTATAAATGCACTTCATCATAAGAGATAAGAATGACAAAGAGGTTATAATACCTTATGTAGAAACTTAAATGTTGGATGTGTTTTAGAATTCTGAATTTCCAGATCTGTTATAAGGGTAACAGTGCTCACACTGGATATGCTGTAACACTCTCCACAGCTCCTGAGGCAGCAACCTTGAACAAACAACTATTTCTAACAAAATAGGACATTCCCACCATGTGGGATAAATAGACCAGCTCCATAGGTGTTCAGGTCAGATTTTGCTGCCAACTGAATTCACTTTAAAGTTGGGGAAAATTTCCAGGGTTTGCAGAGGCTTCTGAGTGTTGCAGTTGTGGATGAGGGGGTTTGGATTATAATATGAAGATTAATAGTCTTCCCTGGCCAATGCAAATAGGGATAAATTTCTTCCCCTAGAGCTTCTGTGTATTTCTCAAATATTCTGCAATAAAATTCTATAATCAGAAAAACATACATTTAAAGACCCTTTTGTTATTTTAGATAATCTTAAGACAGACACATCAAATACTAGATTGAATGTCTCCATTCTTTCAGATTTAGTCTTTTTTACTGAGTAATGATTTCTGTATTTAACAATTCATTGTTATACTAAAATTCTGTTACTACAGATTTCTTCACGTGATGCAATGTGAAGAAAAGCTAAGAATCTCTGCACATGCTGAATTTCCTCATGTAATGAGAGTCTTGGCCAAAAGCTTATGTCTACTTAAAAGGATAAAAGGCTAAAAGGACAGAGACATTCTTTCTTTAAGGTGATGTCCTCATTGGCAATACTGTGTTTGTGTAGATAGTACACATTACCATGCTGTATTGGCTCTTTCCCCCCACCATTAACTTGTTTATGGGTTTATGAGTGGAAAGGAAACAAATTTCCTTTGGGAATGGTACCTCTAAGTGTCTGGAGATTATAAATGTTATATCACAAATTGCTTTATCTAGAAATGCCCACATTTCCATAAAAATCTCTCTATATGTACATGTATAAGATATGCGTGTACATATATATTCTTTTTTTGCTACTTTTAGTTCAACACTGAATCAGTCTAGAGATGCTGAGTGAGTCTTTCAGTAGTCTAATTTATAAGCATGGGACTCATTAACCTTTGATGACCACATTAAACTTTAAAATAAACCTCAGTCCATAAATAAAAAAAAATCATTCTCAGCAGTCTTTTTCTGAACAAGCTGAAATTTTGTAGTAAGGGTAAAAGTTACCATGGATGCATAAAGGGCAATAAGATAATTTTAGAAGACAAGATGGTCATTAAAGAAGATAAATACTATTAAGGAGTAGGACATTCAATTTAGCATATAGTACCAAACTAAAATACAAAGTAAAATTTATTGTATAGATATTCAGGGATCATTGGAACCTAAGTTCATTTCCTGCATTGATGTTCTATCTTGGTTGCTATCAAGAATATTTATTTTTCCATTGCTCTAATTTATGACCAACAATATTTTTCATGTCTTATTTATTAATTATTATCCTGAAATATTATAGGAAGACCTGCATCCCAAGCAAGAATTCACTCTGAGGTGAGTCTGTGTTCTATCAGCATCTTATAAGTTGTTATCTTGAGTTGTGAAACATTTGCAAAAAAAGTAGAAGATAACATCACTTTTCTGAGAAAAATAACAAATAGGTAACTCCTGTCTCTTAAGTTTCCAAACAGATTAAATTGAAGGCGTAATAATTAGAAGTCCTCAAAGAGATGGAGCGTTGCTCTGTCTCTTTTTTTCCATTAACAGTAGAATAGATAGCTGAGATTTTGTGCAATTAGATATTACATATTAAAACAGTATAGTTAATCAGCAAATTGAAATACACATGGTGTGGTCAAAGTTTCATTCACTTAAAGAAATCAAATTATGATTTCAGGTACTATGTGAGTCCAAGTAGAAGACAAAATGACATTCACTATTTCCCATCTTCCTGAGGCTGCACTGCCCTATTCCCCTGAAAGATGTAACTGAGAAACTATGCTACTTCAAACTTATTCATATTATTCATGTGATGTGAAGAAATTTCGAAGAATCTCCTTTTGAGCTGCTCTAATTCCCCATTTAATAAGAGTGTTGGGCACAATTTTGTGTACATTGTGTTAAAGAATCCATACTTAAGAAAAAGCACACTAAAATAGTGGAGGAATAATAACGATGGATTGCTATTTTCCAAGAGAGCAAAGTATCCTGTAGAATTAATAAAAATTAACTTCTAGTAAATTTAACTTGGAGTCACTTATAAAAAATGTGAATTCCAATTATTTCCTGATCTTTTTGCCATTACCTTCTCAATTGCCTCTAAAGGCTACCTCTTGAATCTAGGCAGTTAAAACTGTTAGATTATTAAAATTAAATATCGTACATGTACTTTTGTGAAATTTGCTGTGGAGAACGAAGATGCAAAACCTCAACCACTCTTACTTATTTGAAATAAAATACCTTTACTGTCTGTTTATGGATAAAAATAAACACTAAATATCTTTGTTCTTTAATTTGTAACTTGGGAAAAACTCAATCTCACAGTTTTCTAAAATAGAATCAATATTAATTAAAAACAATAACATGATGATAATTTATAATGTGAAATATAACTAACTCAAAAAATAGATCTACTTTATACCATTATGATTTCCTACACTAACATCAAGGTTAATAAATGCCAGATGGCTTACCTACTTTCATTAAGAATTATTAGTATCAAAACTGCTTAAACTAACAATAATTCATCATCTTAATTGGTTTTCCTGAGAGTTAATGTGAATTATGTAGGAAAAGAATGATACCCTGAGCATCATCATGGCTGAGAGTTAGAAAATTATGCCGATCACCGCAAAAGCAAATTTGACTTTGAACCTCAGTCCAGAGTTGGGCAGCCAATCTAAACTAGTCCAACTAGATCCATTTGATAATTTTTTCTCCCAAGAGTTTGATTGAAAGTTGAGCAGAGACACAGACAAACCAAGGTCACAGAAGTTGGGTCTATCACAGCAACTTCTCAGGAAAGTTATGCAGAATCTGGACCTCCCCCATCCCTTGGCTGTTATTCTACCTTTCCTTTCTTTCAATTTTTATCTTTTTTTTGGCTACTTTTGATTTCTTTTCAGTATACCTCTCTTTCTTTATCTTGCTTTTATCTTTAGAGAGCTGAGATTATTATTTGCTACATGAGAACAGAAAAATAGTAAATGATATGTTAACTTTGTGCTTTAAATTCTTTATTTCAAAAACTGGGCCACTGGTAATAAACATCAATATATTATTTAAAATGTGTTAATATTTGAAAAGACTTACCTAAGTCTATACGTTTATTTGATTTAGTAGTAAACATGACCTCTAGAAAAATGGATGTTCTTCCTTTGTTTAGTCAAGTAAAGAGAATCAATGACAGGATTCTATTATCAGAGGAGTCTCTTTTACCTCATCACCTTTCTCTCCCAGTATCCCAGGGTAGCCCCGTTCTCCTTTGCTTCCCTGAAAAGACAATGAACAGAGCTAGTACACTCAATCATTTTGTCATCTTTAGGAATAACAAAAGTATCTGTTCTCACGGCACCAGGAGCATGTAATTTGTACAGGGTCAAGGAACAAATAAATGACATTTGCAAGTGGTTTTATACCATTTCTCTAATTTTTCTTTTTGAAAATACAGTGTAATTTTTTAAAGATTTATTTATTTAAACAAGAACTGGGGTACAGTCAGAGGCACGGGAGGGTGAGAGAATTCACCAGAGACAGAGCGGGGAGCAGAACAGTATTTTAAAATGAGTTTCCTTTTTTTCACAAAGACGTGAGTGGAGGAGAAACTTCCTTACCTTTGGTCCCTCTCTGCCTGGGATTCCTGGAGGACCCCGTGGCCCGATATCACCCTAGAGGACAGAGCAGTAACAGACCTTAAGCACCATGTGTGACTTGCAGGGTCCACTGGCATTCAGTCCTCTTCTTACCTTCCTGGCTACAGAATCATACTTTCCAGGATCACCGGCGCTTCCTTCTTCTCCTTTGTTGCTCTTCAATTCAGGAACACTGGCTTGGCAATTGCCACAGAAGTTCTGATGACCATAAAGAAAAAGTTACTGAGAGAGTCCTCAAAGTAATTTCTGAAAGTGAGGTTTGATTAGCTTAACATTTTTTTTTAAGTGAAGTAACATGGCATCATAATATTGTTTAAGTTTCAGGTGTGCATCATTAAAAAAGAATCAACATGTTTATATTACATGAAGTTCACCACGAAAAGTCAAATTCTATCCTTCACCATCAATTGACCCCTTAAACCTGGTTTACCTACCCTCCCTTCCCCTTCCCCCCACTGGCCACTAATTGGTCTTATAGTCTAAAAGTGTATTTGTTTCATTTAATTCATCCATTTGTTTTCTCTATATTCCATATATGAGTGAAATGATACAGTTTGCCTTTCTCAATTTAACTTATTTCACTAAGTACAACATCCTCTAGGTTCAAGCATGTTCAAATAACAGAATTTCATCTTTTATTTTTTATAGCTGAATAGTATTTTATTGTATAAATATGTTACATTTTCTTGATTACCTTTGAAATTCTATTTGAGTCTTTGTCAGAGATAAGCAATATAGCCACTACTATGTTACTCCATTTTAGAAACTTACTTTAATTAAAATAAGAAAGAATACTTTTGACTAGGTAAAAACTATGAAGCTAGCAATATTTATGATATTGGTGAGCTTCTATTTAAAATCATGTGTAAGATGATATTTAAATTGAAGATCCCAAATAAATAAGGAAAAGATGCATAAATCAAGAACACAGAGTTTCAGTCACTTAGCAGAATATTTTAAAGGGAAAGTCGTAATAAAGTTTGAAATAACCAACAAGAGTACAGAGCTCATTCAATAAAGAAACATTAAATCATTAAAAAAGAAAGAAAAAGCTATGAAAAAAGATGTCTCCTTTTGGGAGCAAAATTAGTTGGAGAATCCCTACACACAGTTTACTAACATTTTATTTGTCAGTGGATGCACTCATGTGTGAAATAATTGCTTCACTGACTTGGACTTGACTTCTATGTCAAATCCAAGTGCAGATAGGAAATCTAAGTGGAATTACTTTTCCGTTCCCTACTCTGTAACCTTTAGCTGATCTGGAAAGGTTTGAATTTAAGTGTCTGAGCTCACAAGATAAACTTCTTATCACATTGCTAAAGGAAAACTGTCTGAAAAGCCCCATAAAGGCTTATTTTTAAATAAATTGTTATAATAAGAATATGATCAGGAAAGGCAGAGAATAGGGACCATTGAGCAGGGGAGAAAGTTTAATTTTAACAGTTGACAGAAGGCAGGACAATACTCTTCCATCCTTTTTACCCAAGGGAAGAATCTATAACCATGAAAAAGGAACTGAAACTCTCTAATGGTGAGAAGTTGGCAAGAAAGCCCAGGGCTATTCAAGTTCAATATTTTGACCCAGTGAATATCAGCATCAATCTGATTGCCAGAAACAGGCTTCTTGGAAGACTAATTTTATATTGTACTGAAGAGTTTCTGAGGCAATTTGTCTAAAAAATGCTGAAGTAGAGTTTTCTTGGTGGTCTTTCTCAGAATTGGAACATATCAAAGGGAACTAGAGTGTGCAATGCCTCCCAAACTAATTTTATCACCAGCATCTTTTTCTAGAGCTAATGTGTTGGTAGAAGAGTTACAAAATACATATAGGGTCTCCCTGGTGGCCTAGGGGTTAAAACTCAGCGCTATCAGTACTAAGGCCAGAGTTTGATCCCCAGCCACGGAGCTAACCGCACATGGCACAGCAGACCTCTCCTGTCTCACCCACTGCTCCCCTCAGCAGTGTATTTCAGTAGATCCACCTGTTCTACTTCCCACTATCTCTGGTGAATCCTTTCACCACCCCCCCCCCCACACCTCTGGCCTAACCTCAGTTCTTCTACACAAAAAATAAAAAAAAGTAAATAAATACACATATAATTATAGACCCATCAGTTATAGTATCTGAAAAACTATGAAGAGAAAGAGATTCCCTGTGGGTTCAATACCTGAAAAGTTTCCATATTTCAAAAAAGTATAAAGAGGATGAATAATCGTGTCTGTAGCTGTATAAATGTGGCAGATCAATATGGAACAAAACTTGGCATGTCAATACATGACAACAATTTAGAATGGATTATTCCATTGATTGTTTTAATAAAACATAAAAAATGGTAATCATGACTCTGTAGAATTTTCTAAGAGTCATTTATAAGAAAATGACCTCATTTTTTTTAGGTTGGGTAAGCAACCTTGGTAAATTAAGGGAACTGGATTTCATAAAGGTTCTTGAGATAATGGACTTAAGGTTTTATGGAGAGAATAAAGAGGCATCAATAATCAGCCAACATAAATCTCATTCAAAGAGAGATTGATACACAGATTAACCTGTAGGAAGGTATTTGAAGGGATATCATTTGGGTCTGAATTGCATCAGGTTTTTTTCAAAATTTTAATCAAAGATATTTTTGAAAGCAGAAAGCAGGATGATTCAGTTTGCTAAAGACTCAAGACAGAGCGGGAGAATTAATGTGTCGGTAACAAGACCAAGAGCTAATATTACACTAATATCTTGGTCTAATAGAGTCACTGCCCAATCTAAATTCCTGTGTGTAGCTTTTGCTTTAAGGAACTACAGTAGTTCCCTTTCTATTGAAGGCAGTTTGGTGGGACTATCATGTGCAATTGTGTCTGAGTCCTTCTCCTGGGACTCAGAACCTTAGTAAGATGATGCAGGGACTAGAACAACAGTGGAGCACATTCACTAGAGGAATGCTGTCCTGGTGAAATTACCAATTACTTCTACTTCTGAGACCCCTATTAGAGCTGGTTCACAGTCTCTTTGTCTGTGAATAGTCTGTTTTTGTCTGTTCTATTGGGATTCGTTTTTGCTTAAGTGTACAAGTTTTTGATTCTTAGAGAATCCTAAGGAATATGTAACTCTTATAACTCTGTCACTTCTAACATTACAGCCCATGGAAAGAATCTAAGAGTTATTATCTGAAGACCTGTGTCAATGTTATACTTTTTTGCTGTGATGACTGAGCCAGTTATTTAACTACTTGAACTTCAGTCCCTTGTCTATAGAATAGAAATACTATCACCCACAGCCTTGACTCACAGAATTATTGTGACGATTAAATGAGTTGCTGTAAGCAAAGCTGTGTGTGGCCTCGTATGTACTTGCAACTCAGTAAATATAAGATTCCCCTGAAACCCCTTATAAATATGCTCCTCTGATTTATGTTGGCTTATTAAAAACCCTTCTAACATTTTTATATTTAAATTCAGATTTACATATCTACCTGTTCTTAATACTTTAATCACCTATCAAATACATATACTAGAGTTCTCAATTTTTTTAAATTCAACTCAATAAATATTCTTGCCTCCTAACTACTATTATGCAAATCCTTGAGCAAACTGTTGGGCTAAATGCTAGGAATATAAAAGAAAGCACATACAGACGCACATTGTTTATGTGTGTGTGCACACGTGTGTATGTATACACACATATACACATATATACTCTCCATTCATACACTGATGGAGAAAGCACAGAAAGTTTGAGTATAAAATGAAAGGACAGATTTTTTTTTTTAAATCTGGGCTCACTTAATCTCAGAAAACCTTGAAGAAACACGCAAATACATAACCTTACAGAGGTCCCAGTATTATCCTCCCCCATCTGTTTTACAAATTAAATATAGGGAAGGAACAGAGGGAAAAATAAGTAGCTATGTTAATTCCCTCTTGATGAATAATAGGTAGAGAAAATTCTTATTTAACAGAGTAACAGGTGTTAGGCCAATTGTCAGCTTTGGAATTTTACAGCTCACTTTGTAAAATCCTATGACATCAAAACTCAGACTTGCAAGCTAGCTGTTTATTGAGCAGCACTGGCTGGTTTTCTTCCTGGGATTGGCCAGGGTAGATTCAGTGAGAAGGATAAGGTTTCACAGTGGAGAGCCAGGGTGGGCAAACACCCATAATGAGAGAACTGTTCCTCTAGAAGAGAAAATGATAGACTCAAGGGCATCAACAACATTATTTCTTCCCTATAGCTCATCTCAGAATTGCCATTCCTTGACTCGTATCCTTCACACACACATGAGAGGAAGATAAAGAAGAGAGTGGAGGGATTACTATAAATGGCATAACATTTACAAAGAAATATGTTCCATTTTCTACTTAAAGAGGCTCTGCCATTTAAAAACTGAATTTTAGTTCAAGATATGCAATTAACTCAATTTCTGAGAAAGATTTTCTGTTTATTTTTTCCTGGAAATTAACACAGAATTTTTTGCATAGCAACAGAGTACCTTGAGCAAGACACCGATGTCACCCAAGAGAGGAAGTGCAATCTGTGGTTAGGGAGAAAAAAAAAATACTTTCATTTACTTCTGTATGTATATGCACACAATGAAACACAAACATACAATACAATGTAGATATTTTTCCTTAAATGCCAGACTGGCTGAAATTTGTTATGGGTTCTCTAAGAGCTTCACTGTCAGGCTTAACACTCTGTTACATGTGAAGAAATGAATATTTTTGAGAAATATTTACTATTCCTTTACCATGTACATGCAAATATGTGTATGTCATTGTTTGGAATCTATAGCTCTTTTATATTTTCATGACATGGCAACTTTAATGCCAATCTGAACATGTTATTGGCTCTAAATAATAAAAAGGGAAATCACTTTTTAAAAGGAAATCACTCCTCTGCCAAGTAAATTACTAGGCTGATGAGAAACATGAATAGTAGGATGAGTTTGACTTCAAGTTACTTCTCACTGAAGTTCAAAGGCGCCTATAGGCGGCTTGGGTGATGGGCAAGACAAGATACTGACAGAACTCGGCCAGTATTCTGTATTCTGGCCTCATGTTTTAAAATATCCTTTCAGAGGGATACTGTAAAACCAAGAAACATTTTACAAGATCCCAGATGTTGCCCAAATGATTCCCTCAGCGGTGGGATTAAAGTAAGGCCAAAATATGCCTCTGCATGTAGCTTGGAAAGGCACATAAGGCCCAAACAGTGTGGGAGGTAGAAGGATTTGTGAGGCTTAGTACTGAGAGGCCAGATTTGGATTTTATTATACAAATCTCTTAATACAATGCCATGTACCATATGGCCTCTCAAATTATAACCGCTGATTCTGAGGCTATTTAAAGGGATTTTGCTGCTGCTCAGAGTAAGTTTTAACCTAAAATTAAACTTTGGAACACACATTTAGAGCCTAAACTCATTTTTTAAGAGCCTACTCAAGCCAGTTTTTGTAATTTAATTATTTCAGGGTTTTAAAGCCACAGGATCAATGGATATGTTTGTATCATATTGTAAGTAAGCTACCTGTAAACTTTCATTTAGAAAAATGAAATTCATTCAGTCACCAGCATTAGAAAGAATAGAAATTGTGGCTATATATTTTAATTCAATTTTCCATGGGATTGAGACATTATATGCCACGGCTCAGCCCGGGGCAAAATTGTACAGCTGAATTATACCCTTAGGAAATAAGTATTCATCACACACAAAAAAATGCTGATGCGGTCTGAATTTTTTTCTCTCTAAAAAATAATGGGGATAAACAAAATCACCAAGCAGTCACTGAGCATTCTAATTAGTTTGGACAGCAAAACTTGCTTGGTAGGCTGTTTGACTTCTGGGTGCATTAAAGATACATAAATCAGGCACAGTCTGTCGACATACCGGGTCACCTGGGGGGCCTGGCAGACCTGGATTTCCATCCCTTCCTGGAGCTCCCTGGAAACAGAAGCATCATATTCAAATCTTTGCCCATTTGCACAGGTGCACATTAAAGTGTGTTGTGGGGATAGGCAAAGGTGGTCCTTACATCATTTCCTGGGGTTCCCGGAGTTCCTGGCAACCCAGGGAGACCTCGAGGGCCCTGGGAAATGGGGCAAATAATTACATATGAGGATTTTCAGTAATTTCCTTGAAGCAAGAAAACTGGATTTGCTGTGCCAAAAAACTTGGTTAAGTAGCTCACCTGAAGACCTGGCTCTCCTGCTGGTCCTTGGGAGCCCTAAGTGGAATGAGATTTAGTGATTAGAATTCTGGCAGCAATGTCCATAAATTACTAAAGTGGGAGAAAGGGTTAAATAGTGTAATTTACTTCATGGAACAACAAGACTTGCTACCATGCACACGCTGAGAACTTTGAAAAGTGGGCCAAGACTTTTGGATGGTAGCCAAACACTTAACCAGATGCCTTTGGCTGCAAACATCAATAGGACTTTGCTCAGAAACCTGGTATGTCCCTATCATCATCATCATCTGCCCCTGCACCTCCACATGCACACAAACAATACCTCCAAATTCTATCTGTTCAAAAACTGATGGTCCACGGAGGTGACTAGCACAGGGTTCCTTTCCTTTCTGTTTTCTTCTTAGTGTCACTTCTCTAAAGAAATTGCCAAAATCAGGGCCTCCCCGGTGACGCAGGGGGTTGAGCACAGTGCTGTGAAGCTGTCTGCAGCCTCTGCAGCATGGGTTTGATTCCCAGCTGGCCAGGAAGCTACCCACATGGTGTGGCAGATCTCTCCTGCCTCACCCGCTGCTCCCCTCAGCAGTGTATTTTGTCAGTCTGCCTGTTCTGCTCCCCGCTCTGTCTCTGGTGAATCCTCTCACTCTCCCGTGCCTCTGGCCTGTACCCCATCTATTGTATAAATAAATAAATCTTTAAAAAAAAAGAAATTGCCAAAACCAGTGTTCAGTGACAGGACTAAGAAGGAAAACATGAGCCACTTTAGAAAATTGGAATTCAGGTTGCCTAAAAGGTGGTTGGATTACCAGTGAGCCTAACAACCTCAGCTCTATCCACATCACATCACATCACTAGCAAGGGACGTGACCACTGAATGAGGTGTGGGTAAGCCATGCAAGCAAGGAGCTGGTTTCTCAGCAGCGGACTTCAGTAACTGCTCCCAGATGTCTCCTTTCTTGCTTTCAAAAATAAATGTTCATATCATTGTTACAGTGAAAGCTACTTGTTGCTCCCTTTCAATGTACAGTGTCCTTTCATTCCTAAAACATTTTTTTTTTTTTGCTTCAACCTCCTTCACTCCTCCAGTAATTTCCTGATCTACTTTTTCCTTTGTTTAATCTCCCATCATCAATGATTTTTTTATATTCTTGCCCTGTAAATCAAACACCAGTCACACACAACATAAACCCTCTATTTACACTTTCTCTTTACTCTCATGCTAACTTTATTATAAGGTCAATTTCCTACATTGATGCCATTAAGGTAACAATTTGTTTCCATACTTCTCTTGTTCCAAAGTTTTTAAATGTTTTTATAGAAAATAAAGAGTAATCTCATTACTCTTCAGTTAATTAGTGTGTATGTTGTGGTCATTATTCAGGTACTGCTCCTAAACTCTGGCCTTATAGTTAAAACACATTAAAAAACTGCCCATTCTCTGGCCATTGAAAACAGCTTTCATCCTTTCTTCTTTAAGATGTCATTTACAGATTTTTTTATATTACCTCAGTTATACATACTCCATTCATTTTAATTATTGACTTGTTATAGTTAAAACAAATAGCAATAAATAACTACACATTAGCCATTCTTATAATTTGCATCATAATTCAAGCATGCATCTGTACCTTTCAGTATACAGAAGAACTAAAAATGAATATAAATTTGCTTCTAATCCAAAATTAGTGGATGTGTGACCAGTATATGTGAGTAATCAGTGAGCATCCTCTCTGTGTTTAGTGACATAACCTCAGAGCCTATTAATTTGCTCCCTTTGGACAGTATTAACTTGCATTCCTCCCCTGACCTTTTTGATTATTCAAATTTGTCACTGAATTTTGTTTCACAGTAATGGACTCAACAGGGTTTCAAGAAATCAATTGAATTTCACTTACTGTTCGGCCAGGAATTCCTACCCCTGGTGGGCCTGTGTCACCTGGAGAACCATGGACCCCTGGCAGTCCTCTTTCACCCTGTGCAAAGAGATGTTTCTATCAGTGCAAGGCTCATTTTTTTTTCCAATGATATTATGATAATTATTAGTTATTTAAAAATTATCTATAATATTTTTATACCTTTGGTCCACGTGGACCAGATGCTCCAGGATTTCCATCCAATCCCTTAAAGGAAAAAAAGAAAGTAAATATTTTTTCTTTTAAAAAGTTAAGAGCCGCTTAGAAGTCATAACTCAGTTTCATTGTTCTTATCTTTACTTGAATCTTTTTCTATAAAAAATAAGAAACTGGAAAAATACAATTTCAATAAGTTATATTGTACATTATTGTTAAATATAAAAAGGTGGTTTTACTTAAATGAAGCATCTGATAATGAAAAGTATTTATTATTAATTACTATAAAAATTTCAAAGGGGAGGGGGCGGAGCAACATGGCGGCGAGGAGACGCTGCGAGTAAGATCTCCCATTAAAAAAAGTGAATAGGGAGGAAAAGCGGCAGGGTCCCAGTGAGAACTGGGACACGGAAGATAAAGGGGTGACGCCAGCGAACTGCCCGAAGAAGAAAGTGGCCATAAAAGAGGACTAGAAGGGAGGGAAGCGCAGAACCCTGCTCCCCTCCCCCGCCCCACAAGGCTGCACTCTCCGACCAGCAGAGAGGAGGAAACAACAAACCAAAACGGCCCCACAAGAACAAACGACGCAGCAAGCGGGACTGTGAGTGGAAAGGAACTATTGCAGCCACCACAACCCCGTGAACGGGAGCTGAGGCGAACCCTGCAGGATCCGCCGCGGCGGTGAGCGAAACGGCTCCTGGCACCATTAGAGAAGAACAAAGACCCCGGGACGCCCACACAGCCCGGGCTGCCGGTAAGCTGGCAGCGCTGGGCGGGGAACGCGGCGCACTCTGCGCGCTTGAAAAAGCAAGTGCGGACCTGGATCGCGGCTGCCCAGGTCCCCGCGCCTGCCCCGACCTAGGCTTTGCGGGAGACGACCTAGGCTTGCGGGGAGACGACCTAGGCTTGGCGGGGAGACCGCACGGAGGTCCTCACTGAGGTGAAGGTCCCTCCCTGAGTGAGCAGGAACCAGGCGCCCAGGCACGGGAGCGGTGCAAAAGGCGCCATTCCCGCGCCATGAACTGGGCTACAGCCCGCGTCCTGGACCTGAGGGCTTTGAACTGAGACCGGGGGCACGAAAATTTCGGGGCGTGGTTTTCTCCACGACGGTGGGGCACAAGGCAGACACAGCACCCCAAAGCTGTTGAGGTGTTACCCTACCATTCCCGCTCTGTTCTCTGTCCCACGGGGTGGGGGGAGGCGAAAAACAGCCCCCCAAGGACATAGGAGAGATCTCTGGCGCCACCTAGCGACCCAGGAAAAAAAAAAGTCACTAACACCCTAATAAAACAGGACATTTCTTAGACTGCTTGGAAAAGGGCAGAAGGTTTCTGGAGGACCCAGTGGCCAGCCGGGAAGTTTTTATTCCACGCCAGGCCCCTTTCCGACCAGCAGTCTGAGCCCACAGAGGAGCAGGCACCCACGTCCGGGGCAGACCGGGTGCGCAGAAGAGTGTGCCTGAAACCGGAGGCGCAGGGACTGCATCCCGCTTCGCCATTTGGAACAGGGACATTTTCTTCAGTAAAAACTGCCTAAAACCAGCAGAAAGCTCCCCCAGAAGACAGAGATGGCTCCTGGAAGAGCCAGAGGGAGAGCGGAGAAATTCACCCAAGATGTTCATTCAGTCCGAGCAACACCAGTGTCCCAACGCATACGACAAATTAGAAAACAGACAGTAGGGGAGTAGAAGAACACACGCAACCTAAAAACTCCTCAGGAAAGAAGCACACCACAAAAAGAAAACCACTCCCCAGATTGCAACGACAGCAAACTTGGAAGAACTTCTGAGCCTTCCAGAAAGAGAATTTAAAATTTGCCATGATTAAAAAAGTGATAGATCAGAAGAAGGAAATTGAGTCCCTAAAGAGGGAGTAAGAGAATGCAGGAGATCAAAGAATTAATGGAGGAACTAAAGAACTCTGGGAAAAGCAATGAAAGCAGAATAGATGAAATGGAAGAACGAATAAGTAATCTTGAAGACACAGAAATAAAAAGAACCAAACAGAAAGGAAAGAGAAGTACGAAGGAAAAAGAATGAAGAAAGACTTCGGGAACTATCTGACTCCATGAGGAAAGGAAATATAAGAGTTATAGGAATTCCAGAAGGAGAGGAGAGAGATGTAGGAACAGAGAAAATATTCATGGATATAATTGAAGAGAACTTCCCAAATGAGAAGAAGGAGCTGAAAATTGATATACAAGAAGCAAGAAGAACACAAACTTCCACGACGAAAGGAAAAACACAGCAAGACACATAATAGTAAAGCTCCCAAGAATCCAGGACAAGGAAAAAATAATGAAGCTGACAAGAGGGAAGAAACAGATAACATTCAAAGGAAAACCAATCAGGCTGACATCAGACTTCTCTGAAGAAACACTATGGCAAGGAGAGAGTGGAGGGACATAGTCAACAGACTCCAAGAAAACAGATGCCAACCAAGAATACTCTATCCCGCAAAGCTCTCTTTCCTCCATGAAGAAAGAATATGGACCTTCCCAGACAAAGAGAAACTCCGGAATTTCATTGCGACTAAACCCCCCCCCCAAAAAATACTACAAGGAATCCTAAAGCCAGAACCTCAGAGGGACGAAAAACAACGAAAGAAGAGAAAAAAAAAAAAAAAAAAGTTATTAAAAGAATAAATAAATAAAATCAAAGGAAAGACAAACATAATGGCAAATACAGATGCTAACATATCAATATTAACTCTAAATGTAAATGGACTAAACTCTTCAATAAAAAGACACAGAGTTGCAGCCTGGATTAAGAAACAAAACCCAACCTTTTGCTGTCTCCAGGAAACACATTTAGCTACAAAAGATAAAATAGGCTCAAAGTCAAAGGATGGAAAACAATCCTACAAGCAAATGGGCCAAAAAAGAAAGCAGGAACAGCTATACTTATATCAGATAAAACAGACTTCAAACTCAAAAAATAAAAAGAGACCCCAATGGTCACTACATTATGATTAAGGGGACAATACTTCAAGAAGAAATAACACTCATTAACATATACTCACCAAACGAAAGAGCACCAAAATATATCAGACAACTGTTGTCCTCTCTGAAAACAGACATCAGAGAAACACATATGTAGTGGGAGACTTCAACACACCACTATCAACAATGGATAGATCAACAAGACAAAAAATAAGTAAAGAAACTAAAGCTCTAAATAAGGACCTAGAGCAATTTGGGCTTAACAGACATCTATAGAACACTAAACCAAAAAAAACGGAGTACACATTTTTCTCAAGCGCACATGGATCATTCTCCAGGATCGATCACATACTGGGGCACAAGACAAACATCAACAGATACACCAAGATTGAAATCATACCAACCATCTTTTCTGACCACGAAGGCATCAAACTAGAAATAAATCATAAAAAGAAGGCAAGGAACTATCCTACCTCATGGAGATTAAAGCCACACTACTGGAAGACCACTGGACTAACGAGGAGATCAAAGAAGAAATTAAAAAATTCTTTGAATTGAATGACAAGGAGGACACCAATAATCCTAAATGTATGGGATGCAGCAAAAGCAGTAATAAGAGGAAAATATATAGCAATAGAAGCTCACATCAAAAACAAGAAAGAACTCAAAGAAACAACCTAATCTCGAAGCTCAAAGATCTAGAAAAAGAACAACAAAAAAACCCCAGAACCAGTAGAAGAAAAGAATAATAAAACCAAAGCAGAAATAAATGAAATTGAAACTAAAAAAACAATCCAAAAGATCAATGAAACCAAGAGCTGGTTCTTTGAAAAAATAAATAAAATAGACAAACCCCTAGCCAGGCTCACAAAGGAAAAGGAAAGCACAAATACACAGAATCATAAATGAAAGAGGAGAAATCACAACGGACACAGCAGAAATCAAAAGAATAATCAGTAACTACTATGAACAGTTATATGGAAACAAGTTCAACAATCTAGAGGAGATGGACAAATTCCTACAACTCTACAATCACCCAAAGCTAGATAAAGAAGAAATAGAACACCTAAACAGACCAATTACAAGCAGCGAAATTGAAATGGTAAAAAACCTCCCAAAAACAAAAGCCCAGGACCTGATGGATTTACAAATGAATTCTACCAAACATTCAGAGACGAATTAGTGCCTATCCTTCACAAACTCTTCCAAAAAATTGAGAAGGAAGGGACAATACCAAACACGTTCTATGAAGCCAATATTACACTAATACCAAAACCGAATAAGGACAACACAAAAAAGGAAAACTATAGGCCAATCTCCCTAATGAACACTGATGCAAAAATCCTCAATAAAATTTTAGCTATCAGAATCCAACAATGTATCCATAAGATAATTCACCACGACCAAGTTGGATTCATTCCAGGGCACAAGGATGGTTTAACATCCGAAAATCAATCAACGTTATCCAACACATCAACAAAAAGAAATATAAACCATATGATAATATCAATAGATGCTGAGAAAGCTTTCGACAAAGTGCAACACCCATTCATGATAAAAGCCCTTGAAATTCTTGGGATACAAGGAACATACCTCAACATCATAAAGGCCATCTATGACAAGCCAACAGCCAGTATCATTCTCAATGGTGAAAAACTGAAAGCAATTCCATTAAGATCTGGAACAAGACAAGGATGTCCACTCTCACCACTGCTTTTCAATATAATACTGGAAGTCCTAGCCAGAGCAATAAGACAAGAGAAAGACATCCAAGGAATCCAAATAGGAAAAGAAGAAGTCAAACTATCACTATTTGCAGATGATATGATAATATACATAGAGAACCCCAAAATCTCCACAGAAAAACTAATTCAACTCATCAATCAATTCAGTAAAGTGGCAGGATACAAATCAACACGCAAAAGTCAGTAGCCTTCCTATACACAAACAATAAATCTGAAGAAGAAGAAATCAAAAAAACCACCCCTTTTATTATCGAAACAAAAAAAAATCAAATATTTGGAATAAATCTAACAAAAGAGGTAAAGGACCTATACAAAGAAAACTATAAACACTGTTAAAAGAAATAGAAGAAGACACAAAGAAATGGA